TTTCCCTTGCAATAAAACTACAGAGATGGTAATTTGAGTGCACAAATCAATTAATTTTACATCAAGAGATGATGTGAGTGCATCGTTCAGTGGGGAGTCAGGGTACCCGTGTCCACGTCAATGCATTTCCCATTGCTAGGGGAAAAAATGTCATTTTTGGTCCTTTTTTTCTTTCCCTTTTCCTCATTACATTCATGCTTCTATCAGCTTTTTCCCCATCACTCACCACCAATTTGCCTCTGCAATGGTTCTGAATAAACTCGGATTTCCATGCATGCTTTTGCTATTAAAAACCCTTGCTGCATCTTCCCCTCCCATGACGCCGAGCCCCTCCATTGACGATCTGAATACTATTTATCTGGAAATTTTGCTGCAATTGCTGTGCCTTTTGCTTCACCTCCCAGACACTCCTTTTCATAGCTAAATTAATTAAAAAAATGTAAATCTGACCATAAAATATTTGTTGGGTTTTTTTTTATATCCCTTCCCCATCGCCAGTCTTTTGGGGCAAACGGTTTTTGGTTTGAAAACTGAGGATTTCTCAGCATACAGAAAGCAAAAATCTGTCGCTTTTGCATGCACTTGGACTTGACTTTTGCCAAGCGTCCAGTAACAAACACGCTGGAAATATCAATATAAATCATAGAATCATTATGGTTGGAAGAGACCTCAAAGATCATCAAGTCCAACCGTACACCCAATGCCACCATGCCCACTAAACCATGTCTTGAAGCGCCACATCTAAACGTTTTTTGAACACCTCCAGGGACGATGACTCCACCACCTCCCTGGGGAGCCTGTTCCAATGCCTAACGACTCTTACAGTGAAGAAGTTCTTTCTAATGTCCAGCCTGAACCTCCCCTGGCGCAACTTGAGACCGTTTCCTCTTGTCCTACATGCTCCTTGGAGAACCAAACATGCTCCCTGGAGAACCTCAAAAAGCAATCAGATATGGCCAGCAGCAACCAGAGATTTGGACCAGCCTGAAGGCCTCCAGCTTTCCTCTCCTGCCTTGTTTTTCCGTGATTTCTCCAAAAGAAGAACATCCAGAAGACCATTTTTGGAAATCCATTGGGAAGAAATAATTTTGGGATATTGGAAAATGGGAACAAGAAACTGCTGTTTCCAGATACAGTGGTCAAAGTTATTTTTAACAGCATTTTATGATGATAAAAATTGCATTTTTTTGGTGGCGGAGAGGAAAACTGTCTCAAAACATCAGCTCAGTGGTGTCCAAAAAGGCAGAATATTGGTAATTATTAGAAAAAGATATGAAATAAATTCATGGTGTTTCTGCAACGGCACTGTGAAAGCAAAGGTACCCAATGGAAGTGGAGGCTCTGCCTTAAAATAAATATAGACATCTCCAAGAAGATTTTAAAAATATAATTTGCATACTAATTGCCTCAGATCGCAAATGCCAGCCAAATTATATAACGCTTGCAATTTTGCTGCAGTGGAAAATATTTTATATTTTTAGGACTCAAAGAAGTTGAAATGTTTCGGGCAATTTTGAAACTGGAATGTAAAAAAACGTATCACTAGGTGTCTCTGCAGATCCACATCTCTGCATTGACCTTCCACAACTCTACGGCGAAACACGATTTCTCCAAATTAAAAGTCACTTTAATGAAGAAAGAGACCTGGTACATATTGCATTGCACAAAAAAAACCCCAAACCATTCTTACAATAAGGCAAGTGTCAAAGACCAAGTGCTCAAGTGTAAATAAGTGCTAAAATTCAGCGCTACTTGAGTTGATATCCTTCCCCTTGGGCTTTATGATACAGCAATTTATTTTTGGGTGGCAGGCATGCGTAAAATTGTCTGACTCGTCCTAACTTTGTGAAATTTGTTTGTGCTCGAGTAAAGCTGGGGGGAAAATCAGAGTTAGTTGAAGAAAAATGAAACCCATGAGTTTGCTGAGAAAGAACTGGCCAAACTCAAACTAATGTAAGAAGATTCATAAGGCTCCTTCGTGGATGGATGGAGATGAGAAAAAAATTGACTTTAAATAACAGAGAAATCCAGGCTTGTCCACAGGGCAAACTTGGGTAAATTAAGATCTCTACAACAGTACTGCATCGAGTCAGGCCAACCTAATCGTCAGCCTCTAACCACCAGCAAGACAGAGAAAGAAGTCAAGAAGAAGAAAAAAATGCAGTTCTGAAAATGCCCATTTCAACACTGCCAAACTGCTGCAATTCTCACTTGAAACAAGAGCTGAAAAACGCAAGATTTAATCCAATTTAAGTGTCCCTGGCAGTGCTGTGGTTCCCAATGTGATTGGCTTTGCGGTGGGTTTTTTTCTTGCAAGTGAAGTCAACTGGAGAGCAGCGAGGACCACCTTGATGTCAAAAGTAAGTTGACCTGATTTACTTTAAGCGTTGGGTTAAATTGGCTTTTTTCCGCCCCGTGCAACAAGCACCTCCGCTCTCCCGTCTCTCTCTGAAAAACTCAAAAAATATTAATTAAATGAAGGGAGAGGGTTTAAAAGAGTCTGATGAGGACTCAAGGGAGAGGAACGAAGCCAAGTGAAAAACAACCAAGAAAAATGGAAGAAGGGGAATTGCGTGGTGGACTTGCAGGCCAAAGAGGCTAAAACTCCTCCCCAAAACAAAGTGAAGCACAAAATGAGAAAGCGATGGAGAAAACAGGGTAGAAAAATGTCTATAAGGTAACGAAGGTTCAGGGAAGGCTCACCACATAGGAAAAAACCCTAACTTTCCACCTAAACTTGGCCAACACCAGGAGTCATCTCCAGACTTGGCGACATGAGAAGATTTCAGCAACAGTCGAAACTATCTTTCCATCACCTCCAGGCACTTTTGCATTTCTAGAAATTCTTGCATTTTTCATCTTAGAAAGCACAAGTAACACCAAGCCAAGGGACCTTCTTTTTGGATACACCAGGGCAATCCAACCACGATTCTCCCAGGATTCCATTTTGACAGCTCCGGACATTGTTTTCTCAGTCTTAGTTGACAGCCTTGTATTGTGTATCCGTAAGTTTTCAAGCAGGCTATCCCGTGGTAAAAAACTTTGCAAAAAATGGAAATACTTTGCGTTCACAACCAGCCTGGTGTATCTCCTCACAAAATGATCAATGCCCCTCCCATACCCTGAGAAAACCTATTTTCTGAGAAACCTTGTTCATTGATATTAATCACTTTTCCATTATTTAGATTTTTTTTTTTTTTTAATTCTTAAATTAGTGGCCCCTTAGCTGTTTTACCTGCCCTCAGCATGAGATTAATAGGATGATATTTAGCGAAATCACCCCACTTGCCATTTTTTAAACACTGATCCCGTGATTCTTCATCTCTCTGGAGCATCTCCAGCCCTTAAAACGCAACTGATGGATATTGAGTATTTCCACCTTTTTTTTTTTTAAGCCTTATCCATGCAAACTCAACTATACTCAATGTGTCAAAGCGCTCAGGCGCTTGACATTGCTTAGTCGGATAATCAGAAAAAAATTGCTGTTGTATCGTCACTGGTACGTCATCCTCATCCAATGACCAGATGAGATGGTGGCTCCTTCTGGTCTATCACCGTGAATATTTCAGCTCCCTTTGCCTGCTGAAAATCCCTTCGTCACTGAGCAAGCGTTTCCCCTCCAGTTGGGTCTTTCTTGAGTGCATTCCCATTTATTTAGCAACTGCCTCCAGATCCTCACTTGAATTTCTCAACTTTCAAGTCTTGCCCAGAAGGGAAACACTGGCAGCTCTGGGTTTGCTGGAATCAGAAGTGCTTGGTACCTCTCCACGGGCCTGATTATTTTCCAAAGACTAGTGCTAATTTTCTGATACGATCCCCACCTCTTTGTGAGGCACTAAATCCTCATTACTTTTCCTGACCGATGCATTCTAATTAGATCAACACTTTAAAAAAAAAAAAAAAAAAGAAGGAAAAGAGGGAAAAAAAAATCACAATAGCCACAGGACGGCTTTCCATCTCATTAACTCCCTCACTTATTATTTTCATGAAAATTACTGATAAAAAACATGCATCTCCATTTGCTGGGACCGGGAGCTTCGTCGACTCATATCTAACATCTCTCTCATCACCCGGGATGCGAGCTGTTGCCATGGCGACGCACAATAATAGAAACTAATAAATTACAAACGAGATGCTCGTTGAGCAATTATTGTTCTCTTTTATGCAAGTGTCTTGCTAATTTTGATCATAAGGAATGCTACCATAAAGCAGCGAAGGGATAATAAGTCCATTTCTAGAGATTATTAGAAAATAGAGAGACGATGAGGTTTTTTAGATCAATGATTAAGTGGTTTGGTGCTTTCAGGAAACCCAAATAAGAAATAAAACTTTTTGGGGGGCTTTTCCCTCCCTGTGCTAGGCTGTGATCATCATGTTGGGAGCTTCAAACTCGGCAGTACTTGGAGCCGAGCTGCTAAAAATGACTTTTTTTTTTTTCCTTCCCACCATCCTAAAAAATGCCTTGAAAAGCCGTAAAAAGCCCCCACCACCTGCCTCCTTTTTGGGGAGAACCCCAAGAGCTGCCTGAGTTATTTTGGGTTGGCTGCAGTTATTTCTGGTGGGATTATGCAACCCTGAATTTCATTGCCCACTCCCCAAAAAAATCCAGTGTCTCTGAGAGAGAAATCACCAAGGGACTCCCAATATTGCATCAAGGAAGTTTTTTGGGATGCAACTAGCCAACATTTAGTCCCTCCACTGCAAATGCACATGAAAACCCCAACCCACAGGCAACTTTTTTCCCAAATATTAAGTTACAATCCCTTATTTTGCCCCAAAAGCCACCAAGGTGCAGCTTGGTTTGGCCATTTCAGTTGATATTTTTGCAATTCTTGGGCATCTCCTTGTACTTTCCCACTGTGCCTGAGGGACCAAATGTTTCCTTGTCCCAGCTAAAACCTAAATTGGGGTGGGGAGGGGGGGGGCGGAAAGTCAAGAGGGGAATGTTGATCATGCTGAGGGGGAACCGCAAGAGGTGCCGGGGCAAAAAAAGGAGCATCGGAGCCAAAAAGGGTTATCCAAGACCCAAAAATCTGTTAAGCTGCCTTGAAATGAAGACAAGAATGGGGAAGAGAGGAAGTAGTGGAGAAAATCACGGTGTTTCTGTGTCTCCGCCAACAAATAGTATTTTTCCATGAAAAAAATACAAATTTCTTGTCTATTTTCCCATGTGCTTGCACAGCTTCTGCAATTTCTTCCCCCCACGTTTCATTGCTGCAACATAAGAGTTTAGAAGTCCTCATCTCTCCGTTTTCCAGAGACACAAACATGGGGGTTGCAGCTCTGCCAAACCCATGAAAAAAAAAGGTCACGACAGAAAGTTAAAAAAGAAAAAAAAATCACCACAGCATCATTTATTACACCACGTGAGCAAAATACGGGGTTTTTTTTAAATTATGTTTCTCAATTGGAGATGGGTTTTGATGAATTTCCAGGAGACCGCAAGATTTGTAGAGTAACCCTCAAACCTCGTTGGCCAACATGCGATGATGGTGATCAGAGGCGATTTTTAAGGCATTACCTGGGGGTGGAGGCTGATGGAGGTGGGGTTGGGGGAGTAGGGCCCCCCCAGGTCATTCCTGAGTAGGTTGTCGCTGTGCATCTTGGTTTTGAGGCAGGTGATGTAGCGGTTGCAAAAGTCCTTGCACAACTCGTTGACCTTCTCCAGCTCCAGGAGGTGGATGCGCAGCACCTGGATCGCCTTCACCATCTACACAAGCGCACACAATGGCAAAGTTAAAATCCTTTTTTTTCTCAATGCATTGGAAAAAAAAAAAACAAAATCAATATTCTCACCCAAAATCTAATCTGGAACCAATCCCTATGGCAGAATTAAATGCATTTCCTTTCTCAACACACCAAAAAAAGCCAAAAAAATCAGTATTCTTGTCCAAAACCCATCCCAGAGCCCATCTCTCTGCACCTCTGCATTTCTTTTTCCTCCCCATCAATCATACCTCTGAAATCCCAAAAGGACAAAATTCACAAAATTTACCATTGCCTTCATGGGAATTGCTGCCCGTGCCCAAAAAAACAGTCCAAACAAAACCCCTGGATGTCAAAAAGTGTTTGGTTATTCTCCGGAGGACACTTCTAACAAGATTACGGGGCTGCAACTCCGCTGGAAGTTGTTGCCGGTGCAAAGCCTGGGCCTCATTAAAACGTACCCCATAAACGTTAAAAAATTTACACATAAAACATTCCTCTCGCTGAGCTGAAACCTTAAGTTTTACAGCCGCTGTTTGAAATCTTGCATAATATATAAAATTTCAGCTATTCACTCCGGGGCAATAAATCCGGTTTTATGTAACAAAGCGTCTTTGCATTTCAAAGGGTGTTTTTAACTTGCAAATTTTAGTGGTCATCTTTACAAACTGCAAGTCGCCACGGTTGGGAAACATCCCGAAAAATCCAGGGCCAAACTTGGGTGGCGGCTCCATGACAGAGAAAGCCAATTTCTGGTTGGCAAACAACAGGGATGATGGGTTGTGGCTGGAAAAATTATTTTTTTTTTCTTTTTTCGGCCTTTTTTCGCTTTTTCTTTTTCCTCCTCCACAGTTGGCGCAGGCAAAGCGCAAGGTGGAGGCATCATGCCCTGACTCTCCGCATCCTCTCAGGGCTCAACGGCCATGAAAGTCAATATTCAAGGGCAAAGGCAAGAAGACCTGACACATATATGTATAAAAAATAAATCTCTCAATTATCTCAGCTCATTTGCTTAGGGTCTCATTTTATGTCCCTGCTCCGCTGCGTCGTATATCTGTCCGGATAAAGAGTTACAGTCCAACGGCGTACGTGCGCGGGGTTGTAAAAAATACAGATGCTGAATTAATTGACTGTGTGGCACTCGGCAGCTGATTGAGTTGATAATGGTGAGATCTGACCTTTTTCTAATTTCTAATTATGAGCATCTCGGCGGTGAGGAATACATGACTCTTATTCTAATGATAGCTAATGCCGTTGGCCTTTTCATCCCTGCTTTGCCATCGCCAATTTCCGGGGAATCGGTGGCTTTAAAAAAAGAAAAAAACATGCAAAAAATAACCAAAAGAAAAGGACAATGCAAATTGGGAAAAATTGTCAGCTCAGGAACAGGTTGAAATGTTGAGTTTTGAGCACTGCAAGACTTTTTCATCCAAAATTCCCTCCAGTTGGCGCTTCCCACCAGCGGGAACAGTCCTTCTTCGGTATCACATCAATCACCTCCTCTGTCTTGACAGAGGCCAACCACACTGAGCCATTTGGATGGCATTTGGAGAAGTTCTGGGCATTGGATAGAATATATACATACAGATATGTCCTACAAATAGGGTAAAAATACATACGAATATGAATATCAATACGAATATATCCAGTGCTGCAAGGTCACACATGGGATCAATGCAACTACCCATGGCCAAATTTCACCTGAGGAGCAAGAGTTGCCCCAAAACATGCCCAAAACCATGATTGGTGTGGGTTTTTTTAAGAAACCACCACAAACCCGATGAAAATAGCCTCCGCAGACACATCTCCTGCACTGACCATTTGCTGGAGATGTTTCACCTTGATACGTGTAGGAATAGCTTTTCCTCTCCCAAAATTTTAGATTTTATTTTTTTTTAGCTTCAGCTGGCTCCATCTCTTTCCTCTTGCTAGATCATTGCACCCCTTTTTATGTAATTTAATGCGATAATTTTTTTGGTGCACCTCATCATTTGATGCACGCTGAGTCCCAAAACTGAAATCATCCAAAACATTGCTTTTTTTGGTTGCTTGTCCCAAAGTGATTTCTGTTCTTGGCCAGAAGACATTGTGCAATGGGTTTAGTAATCTGCAAACAGGGCTTTGCATGGCCTGCAATTTATTTGGAGGGCTTTCCAAAGACTGCTAAGCCACTCTTGATTTAGGGATGTCACAAAATTCTCCTCCATCAGCTGAAATCGGGTACAAAAGATGCGGGATTTTAATCCATCTTGAAACTGTCTCTTGGGTTTTTTAGGAAAGCAGTAGTTTTTGCACTTGGATGAGCATTGCTTGTTCTTCTTCCCTTCATGACAGGTCATCAGACAAAATCACCTCCTTGATATCTGTAATATTTGGAAAAAGCTGCCTGTGACTTGCCTGATTTTGCTTCTTTTCTGGGACAGAAATCCCTCTGCTACATGTCCCAGGGACATGCCAACACCCGAGGAAGGTGTTTTGCTCTTTCCATCTTCAGAGGTGGGCAAAATTACCTCTTTTGACCTTAAAAACTTGCTTGTGGAGCACTGGGAGGGTGCACCAGGATGGTGCCATGGACCCGTCTACCCACACGCTTGCCATGGAGACCACACATGGAGGCCTTCTGGATTTGGGGATGTTTCCTGAGATCCTCCTCGCAAGAGAAAAGCTCCATCCCAAGCAGAGTCTTCTGTGGTACCTTCCAGCAGCAATGGGTACAGTAGAAAATTTGGGTTGCCATGACAGGGAAGCCACCAAAAACGGTCCAAAGTGTCCCAAACCATTTATATGCATCACCCTTTTCAGAAAAAGCTCTTATTTTGCCTTGTTTCTAGGACAAGAGCTGGCCATCACACTTGAAACAAGATGCTAGCAGACAAGAATGTAAATGCTATTGCATGTGGCATCAAACAGCAGTAATTCCTGCAGAGATTGCAAGTTTTGGGGCACAAACCAACCATCAATCTTGGCTGTTTCTAGGAAACATGCTGACCCCATGCCGTTTGTGTGGGAAAACTAGCCAAAAATTGGGCAGGCGTTTGTTCTCACAGGGGATCTTATGGTAAAGGTCTTGGAGAACGTCCTGGAGAAGGTCCCACAATGTGCATGGAGAACATTGCCAAGATGGCCAACACTACAAACCGAGCCCAAAGATACTGCCCATGGTGGCAGACATCCATAATTTGCTCCTCACCCCCTACCTTCTCCCCACCTCCCCAAAAACCATCTGCCAAGCCCCAGCTGCCTCTACCAGGTTGTCCAGCTCAGGGTCATCACTGAAGAAAGGCTTGTGCTCCTGCTCCTGCTGGTGGACAAAGTTCTCGATGTCGACGTCAAAGCTGGCCGAGGTGATACACTCAGAGCCCTGCGTCGCCTGCTCGCACTTCTCAAAGAGCAGCGTCAGCAGCGGGAACAGCGGGTGCCTGCAGAGGACAAAGGAGACCCTCCATAACGCCCACTGGTTTAGGTCCCATGTCCATTTTTACCCCACACCATCCATCCATTCCCTCCCAGCTTGCAAAAGCCTGGTGATGCAAACCTCACTCCCAAGCCAATGCTGGAAATGTTCCCTCTAGACCTTTTCCAACACCAAAAAAGAAAAGCTTAATAATTGCAAAATTCACCACCTTCTCCATCAGGCAATGACTACTCTCAACATCTTGGTGCTTTCCATCATTGCGCCAAACCTGGCATTTTCAAAATGTTTTGCCGTGGGCAAAAAGGTTTGGCTTCGGGGTGGTCGTCTTGGAGCCATCTGTTGTCCTGGTGGCTTTGCATTTTGGAGACTGACAGCAGCACGTGTTCATCAACGGTAATATTTTACCCCAAAACATCTCTCTTGGTTGGAGATGCCGGATGGGGCTGAGCTGGTATTTCTACATACCCACAGCATCCTATGGACCGACCTTGCCATGGGCTACTCCTCCAAGAGGTCTCTTTGCACATCCATGTCCATCCACAAAGATGGGTCAAATCCCACTTCTTTCTTACCACAAGATGACTCTTAGAAAACAAAGGTTTGCAATTCTTCTTGTAAATCTTCTTGCTTAGAAAACAGGCTTGCAATTCTTGCAAATCCACAATTTGCTCTAATGATGATGCAATATAAAACGCAAATATGTGTACAACACCAAAGCGTGTGTAGAAGAAGGGGATGAAGACCATGAGTCTCAATGTGACTCAAGTCACATGAGACTCAATGTGCTGTGCAAATTAAAAAAAAAAAAAAAATAAAGTATTTATGAAGTCTTTCAGAGAAGAAATACAAAATGCTGCTCCAGGGATGGTCTCCCCCCAGCAGCCCAATTATCCCAGATTTGCTCCACAATTTTCTCTCCGAAAGATGGTCCAAAAGATGATGATGAA